ATCTGGCTGCTAGATCCATGAATCTGACCTCGGTCGAGTCACAATAGTCGCTGTCTTTTCCCCGTGGTCGAAAATACTAACATCTGTTATCTCTGACTTCCAGACTCTGAGTTCCTTAGCTCTGGTTTTTGCACTCCACCATTACAAGCCTACACCACTGTATGTGATGGACGAGATCGATGCTGCGCTAGGTAACCTACGATCACATTCCCTTATTGACAGCCTTTTTCATTACTTCTCTCACATCCATTCTTCTTTTTAACTTGGTTATTTCACTCACTTGGACATACAGACTTCAAGAACGTCTCGATTGTAGGACACTACGTCAAGGACCGCACGAAGGATGCTCAATTTGTCATCATCAGGTACGTTAACCATGTTCATTTTGGTTTGTTTTGGGCTTGAATGTTTGTTTCCTTTCGGTGTCACCTGGGCATAACTGTTTAGAACCTTGATACTCTAGCAAGTAGCATCTGACTTGCAATACTTTGACCTGTTGCTTTATCTTTTGCAGTCTTAGGAACAACATGTTCGAGTTGGCTGATCGGCTCGTCGGGATCTACAAAACGGATAACTGCACTAAAAGCATCACCATAAATCCCAGGAGCTTTGCAGTGAGCGAAAAGACTGTTTGATTATGGTCGTTCCTCTTGTGCGTACAAAGTAACAAATGTAACTCTTAGAATGCAAATGATATCAACTCGATATTTATTGCCATACTGTTTATTAGCATTTTTGAAGTTTACAACTGAATACTGAGTAAGGATTCTATTAAACATATGAAAGATAGATCACTATTTTTATCTAGTAGTTCAAAGGCTGAACCCGAAGCCAACAAAATTATTTCCTAAAGCCTTTTTCCTTCAATCGTTAAGGAAAGATCATGAGATTATACCAACTCGGGTCTAGCTTTGCGATATATAGTTTTCTTTAACCATAAACAATATAATTAAAATCGGGCTTTAAAAATTAAAAATTTACACTTCTACACTTTTAGGTGAACAAAACCAAACAGACTACTTGCCAATAGACCGTGTTTCCTCCGATTCCATGCTTGTGTGCCTAGTGCCTACCCTATGATATTTTTGAACAAGTCGAAAGCTTCTACGGATTTTGTTAATGTGTAATGCTCCAATTAGAGCTATGACCTTTTTCCAGTGGGGCTAATAACAGTGTCTAACTCTGGAGACAACAACCTTCTCTCCTTGAGATCGTCACAAATTCACAATGGAGTAAGTAGCATATGGCCTATTTATTAGTGGGCAGAGCAAGAGCTAGTCCCTTAGCAGAGGAACTCTACGGTGTAAGAAAGCTATTAGCAATATGCGTAAACCGTATAAGGCAATATGAAATATACTACTATATATAATACAAACATTACTCAACAAGATAGCTACTGGCCTTTCAGCAATAACACATAGAGAAGCTTATGTTTCTGAACTAGGCTCTATCCAACCACATAGATGAAATTCGTTAGTTCGTTGGAAACCATCCATCACACTTTCGTTACCGTCGAATGTGTGATATTTGCAGGTATCCATCGAATAGAAAACAATGTTTCCTTCAACCGATCCTCTGGGGAAGTAAATTTTATTTCCCATTCCGGGGATTGTCGCCGCAATGGAGAAACATGAGGTGTGACTCACGAATACCATGTAGGATCCTAAAGTCTTGACTTTCCACCAACCATTCTTCTCCCGATCGAACCTGTAAACTAGAATGGACTTGCCGAGATCGCCCACTAGTATAGATAGAATTTCGCCTCCACATTCAACAAGATACTCTGACTTTGATTTACGATCATCGTGAGGATCCACCACCACGGCCTCGACATTGTTGGGTAGGAGCTTCCACGGATATACATGGCGCTCCCATTCATATTGCCCCTCGACATTTTGACGACAACTGAAAGCACCCAATTTCTTTTTCTTATCTAAGAAGTAAAACTTACCGTCCATAAAAACTGGGGTGCTATAATCGCTTGCTCGAAAATTCATCTCCTCATCCCGCGTATAATGCCATTCTCCTTCATTCAATTTCATGAAAAGGAACCATACACCACCACGTTCTATTTTCTCTGACGCTACTCCCATGATGGAACATTGCGGAGAAGTTGGTGCTGCCGAGATCCCAATTCTTAAAGGGCAAAGAATGGGCATCACCCCAGGAATACTACGAACTTCTTTTGTAAAAGGATTCCAAAACGCAGGCTTATATACGAGACGAGGCAGTGGATCCACATTGGGATTTGAGATTTTCTGGATCTTGCAGATGAGCAACCAACGCTGTTTTGAGAACAATATGCAAGTATTATCATCCGTGGTGGGAAGTTGTAGTTGTTGATTGGTGAATTTGTTTCTGCATCTCATGTCGTGGAGATGGAGGTTCCCCATGTAGTGTTCCAAGCAGAAAAACCATGGATACGAGGAGGGAGACTGGAGTGCTTTGCCACCTTGATCTGATGCCCAAGTGATTAATGGTGCAATCGACTTAAATGTCCTGCAGGAGCCGCGGAAGTTTCTGTAATCACCCACCACATGTAGCCGTCCTGTTATGTTGTGAAGAATGTCTAAAGGAAGATCCAATATTGATGAGGTCTTAGACGACGACAAAGTAGCTTCATCCTCATTGCAACATCCAATAACTTGGTGCTTGCCAAAATTCTCAACAAGACGACGACAGAGTTGTCCAGCAGTACCCGAGCTGCCATGGCGTGTAGCAGTCGTAGTTTGGCCGCGATCGTAGCTGAGAAAGGCAATGGAGAATGCTGGCGAGTCACTGTAGAGGTCTACTTCAGGAGGAGCGAGCAAGAAGAGTGATGATTGGCCTGTTTCCACATCAAAAGCAATGGATCGGTAACCATGTTGAAAAAAGTAGATGCAATTGGGTTTGGGTCCTTTTTGGCCTGGCTTGGGGCTGCAAGAGAAAGCGCTATAATCACTGACCAAGATTGCTCGTCCCTCCAAGCTCTTCACTTGAACCCACGAGTATGATGATGACGATGACGATGATGCCGACCTGGTCAACTTGTAAACTTGCAAGAATTCAACGTCATACTGACCAGTTCCCCGCATACAAATTAGTAACTGAAGGAGTTCCCCGCCCGACTCAACCAGCCGGTGGTCGAAAGTAGAGGTGTTTAACATAGGACTTAGCCCGTTCATTAGCAAGCTTGACACCACCAGCTGGCTTTTGCTTCCTCTGCTTAAATCTTCCTCAATAGCAAACAACTCGTCTTTGTCTGTTATTGCGTACGCGGCTCCTTGCCGAACTCCGAGGCGCCAAAAGAAGTTCCTCACGGCGTGAAAAGTTTGTACAGTCCAGCAATTGGTGTTGCCCTTTAGACCACCAGCTGGTTTGCAATAGGCGAGCTTTGGATCTTTCTCGTGGGCCACTATGACTTTGCAGTTGGGATGGGTTGGGGGCAGCGTCAATACTGCGGTGCAGAAGCCGGCGCCATTCAGCTTGGGTAGTTTAATGACCTCCAGCGTGGAGGGATTCAGCAAAGTCAAGAGAGTCGCCTTAAATGGAGCCGTAATTAGACGCGCAAAGATTAACCAGCCGAACGGGGAGTGCTCAAAGATCTCGCTGCGCTCGGGAAATTCAGCTATCTGGCGACGACGAGGGACAGGGGTTCGCTTGCAGTCGGGATCCGCCGCTGCCGTTGAATAGAAAGTCTGGTTCTTGCCGTGGAAAATGACCAGCCATGGGACATCGCTGGTAGAGACTGGTAAGTTACGCGATTGCGACATGATCGATCGACAGATTAATAGCGAGGGCCAATTGACTAGGATAGAGGATGCAAACGGCAGTCTTTTATATTTATAGGATTACCTTCCCGTTTATCACTCTGACAAGGATATTGAATAGGGTTTGTTCAATGAGGGAAGCAATCACCGTTTACCACTCTGATAAGGAAATAGAATAGCCATTTACCACTCTGATAGGGATATTGAATAGGGTTTCCGGAAGGAGACGACGGTTTCCGTTTCCGTCATTGAACCGCGGCTGTGATGTCAAATCCGCCATTATTATCTAAGCTTGGAAGTTCGATATTGAGGGCGTGATTGTCCACACTCGGGGTATGTATATGAAAGCTTATCACCTTGGTGTGATGAACTGGTCGCCTCAATGAAAGACATATAATTAGTCTGATTGAATTTTGCCGCTGTCTTCTAATGTGGAATAAGGTTATTTCCGGTTTTGATTAGTAATTGTAGAAAATTGTGTGATACAGTTCATTGGTGGGAGAATTTGTGTGGGTATGATCTGGTGGATATGGTCCTATGTTTTAGCAACTTTGAGCTGCAATTTTGCTCTTCCCTCATGCAGGAAAAACAAGTTGACTTACTGCCAAACAGGAACTGTGAGCACTCCGGATAGTGCTCCGCGCCTTTTTGAGTCTGGTGATGGTTCGGGATAAGAGAATGAAAGTTGTTTTCTAAGCTGTACTGCGAAACACTGTCGTAGCAAAGGATCTGGATCAGGTATAATCTAGTTTCCTATTGTATCTTTCGCTATATATTCTAGCAACAGATAAAGATTAAATAAATTTGGCTCCATGCCTCCATGGTGCAACTGGTAGATTTAAGTTCAGACCTTTATGTATGATCTTCTCCAGTTTGATTTATGACCTGTCCCAAAATTGAAGCCCATATAGCTTTGAAGTTCCTTTCATCTCTCTCTGATCAGTAATTATGCGATTCTTTTTAAGTTTTAACTTTTCACGAATCTTTGTGGCTAGATATGACAGAAGGACTTTCGTATGATCAAACGATTTGAGCTTTAAAAGCTTTTGTGAATTACCATTGGTTTACTGGTATATTCATTTCAAGAATAGTTTGGTTTGTTGCATGTAATCCGGATTTACTATTGATGCTGGTAACAAATTGAAATAAAGCTAGACTGACTTCTGTTTTGAACATGTAAGGCAACAAGAAAACACATACTTCAGATGTGTGGTTAAACTGGATGATGCACTCTTTGAAACAGCTGATACAATGAGTGGTGGAGGAAGTAAACCCAGGGGTGGGAAGATGGGTACATCAATTCGAGCTGCTAGTGTGTCTGCAGAAGCCGTGCAGAATGAAGAGAAGGAACCCTCTACATTGGTTGATAAATGGAATGTCGTTGGCAAAATAATTGCTGATGTGGTGAGAAATTACCAAGCATAAAAGATGCAGGTTTCACATTTGGAGATGGAACTCGCTAAAAGCCAGAAAGAGGTAATGTTGTGTCTATCAGAGTCTTTGTTTTGTATGAGTTGCTAAGAAAATTGAAGTAATTTGTAAGACCCTTTTTTTTCTGCAGATTGATAGTTTGAAATCGGAACATAGTTATCTTAAGAAGCAGCTTGCATCTTTGGAGGCTGCATCACAGCTGAAGAAAGACGAGCTTGAGAAAATTATATCTGTGTAGGAGACATAGATCGATACACTTGTGCCAGGGTAAAAGGAGCTGAAAGAGAATGTTTGCAAATATGTTTTTTATGGTTTTCTTTTTCCAATTGCTGATTTACTGAAATGAGAAGGCGGATCATTTATCACAGCTCTTTTTTTGTTTCAGGCTCTGGCGCTTTAGAACAGGATTGAAAATGCTGGTGGTCAATTGTTGAAGGATCAGAAGTTTTCATTCTGTAAGTCTCCTTGAAATATTGAAATTACATAAAATCTCGTGCCTGCAATTGCTGATATGCTCTTTCTATTTATCAGGATATTGATAAAAGTTGCTCTGAGATCAATCGCCATAAAGTTCAAATAGAGACAAGTCAGAAACTGATAAAGTAGCTGACAAAGGGGATTGAAGATTCAAGGAAGGAAAAGGAACGACTAGAATACGAGAAGGAAAATCTGAAAGGTGTTTTCAAAGATATAGAAGTGAAAGCTTTTGATGTTCAAGAGAAGTACAAGAAAATACAGGAGTTCTGGTAGCTAAACTTTGCTGATTGATCTCCAGGGTTTGGTTGTGGCTTAAGTGTGGTTTGCTGGTTTCATTACGTCTTTGGCAGTTAATTGACGAACATAAGAGAGTCTTGGATAAAGCTAGGGATGATTATGAGCATTTGATGGTGGTCGATGAGTTCCGTGCATCAGAGGTAACTGCTTTTGACAATTTTAATTCAATTTGAATGGAATTCATGGCTGACTGTTACATCTTGTAGTCAGGTTGATGCTGACTTCAAGCTATAAGAAAAAAGCTTAATGACTTGCAAAATGTAATTACCCTCCAAGTGGAACAGTATGTTTATGGTGAACCCTTAGTTTGCTTTTATGATCCTGAAATAAGTTTGTACGTGCTCTCTAGTTGCAGAATCCAGAAAGATCTTGTGGACCCTGAAAAGCTTCAAGCAACCTTGGCTGATGGAAATCTTTCCGAGGATTGTGATCTGAAGAAAGCCCTGGAAATGGTTACATTGTTGCAAGCACAACTGAAAGAGATGAATCCTAATCTCGATTCGATCACAGAGTATGGTTTCCTTATGGTTCTCACTTCTGATGTTTGTGACAATACCTATCATATATAAATTTCAAAGTTGCCAGCCCTCTATTAATTTCCTGGGTTGTGACAGGTACCGAGGAAAGGTTGCCCTCTATAATGAAAGAGTTGAGGAGCTCAATGCGGTCACTCAAAACCGTGACGATGTCAAAAGGCAACATGACGAATTGAAAAAGAAAAGGCAAGGCATTCCTTAGTTATATTTTATACGCATGTTCGTGGTGTGTATTTTATTTCATTTTGGTTCAGCAGCTAAGCCAGTTTGTTTTTTGAAAGCAGGCTGGATGAGTTCTTGGCAGGGTTCAATTCCATATCCTTAAAGTTGAAGGAGATGTATCAGGTTCCTCTCTTGAGATATATCCTTACTCTCCTTTCAACAAAAATATACTACAATAGTCTTTCATTAGTATTTCACCCTTGGCCAACTTTCTCCAAATCATTAATGGTGTTACTTCGTTATGTCTAACTCTGATGATACATTTGACTCAGATGAATACACTCGAGAGGTTATGCAGAGCTAGAGCTAGTGGATTCTTTGGATCCTTTCTCGGAAGGTGCTGTATTCAGTGTTAGGCCCCCAAAGAAAAGTTGGAAGAACATTGCTAATTTGTCCGGTGGCCTTTTCCCCATAACATAAGATACTAACATCTGCCATCTCTGACTAACAGACGCTGAGTTCCCTAGCTCTGGTTTTTGCACTCCACCATTACAAGCCTACACCACTGTATGTGATGGACGAGATCGATAGTCATGAAAGACTGATTCCACTTGAACAAACGGCAAGGCAGAAGGTTGCAGAACTTAAGTCAATATTCAGAGAAGAGTCAGGGTCTGCCCTGAAAGCAATTTTACATACCAAAGAATCTAAAAGCATAGAGGGGATATAAGGAAGAATGGGGAACTTAGGTACCATTGATTGTGAGTTTTACCTTTTCCTGGTATTTCAACTTTCTACTATGTATCCTGCACTTGCAAGAATGATATCTGATCTCCCATATTTACATAATTTGAATCCCTGGTATAGTCACTTCGCCGCTATTAGACTGCCGGAAGAAGCAGAACTTGTAGTTCTAAAAGAGACCAACGAATTGTTTCTCTATTTTGAGGTTCAATAGTCCAACTTGTCTTGTGAATGGTGTCAGTTATTGTAAACCTCTACCTTTAGCAGTTCAAGGCTTTTGCATGTTTCTTATGACATTGTGGTCCAAGTCCCAGGGGCCTTTTTCTATAACTTATGTGCTTATATCATTGCAGCAAAGTATGATGTTTCCATATCGACGGCCTGTGGTGGACTTGATTATATCGTTGTTAAGACGACAGCGGCAGCCCAAGCATGTGTTGAATTGTTAGACGGGAGAACCTTGGAATTGCAACTTTCAAGATACTGGTATGAGTTCCTTTTATTGCTGGTTGTGCTATTTATGGTTAATGCCAAAAAACGACTCACTAGTTTGGAAGTTGGTGTCGAGACAGTATTGTACAATGCCAAAGGAGATGCCTTTTTTATAGTGGATGTTCCTCTTTGCCAATTTCGTGAATTCTACCATGGTGTCTGAAAAATAGTTTGGTTCCTTGCATGTAATTGGGATTTACTTCTGTTTTGAACATGCAAGGCAACAAGAATTGCGTATGGAAACACAGACTTCCAACGTGTGGTTACTCTGGATGGTGCACTTTTTGAAATAGCTTGTACAATGAGTGGCAGAGGAAGGTACATCGATTCGAGTTGTTTGTGTGTCTGCAAAATGAAGAGAAGGAACTCTCTACATTGGTTGAGAAATTGAATGCCGTTGTCAAAAGAACTGTTGATGCAGTTTGTAATTACCAACCAGCAGAGAAGCATATTTCACATTTGGGGATGGAACTAGATAAAATCCCGAAAGAGGTTATCTTTTGTCTATCATAATCATAGTTTTGTACGAGTTGCTTAAAAAATTGAAGCAATTTTGTAAGAACTTGTTATCTTAAGAAGCAGCTTGTTATAAGCTCAACTTATTCGCTTGTT